CTCCTGCAGCCGTGCCCTGAGCTTGGCGTGGGTAGCATCCTTCTTGTCACCGTCTGCCGACTCTGGCTCAGCAGTTGCTTTTCTCTTATTAGTCGATGACTCCTCCACAGTCACGGCCGGGGATGGATTCGGCGGTGTCGTTGCAGCCGCAGCCTTTGCCTTCGGCAAGGGTTTTCTGGCCATGCCAGGCACCTCCAGAATCTTGGCAACCTCCGCGCAGTAGAGACTGTGGCCTTCCGTCAGCATGTCCTTAGCAACCATCGTGGCCAATCTTTTCATGAGCAGCTCCTTGTGGGTTTCCGTGTAGGCTACGGCAACGTACGGAATGCCCAAATCCATGGCCTTCTTGGCTGCGACATCTGTGGGTGTCCAGTCCAGCAGGGCATCAGCCCAGCACTCGCTTCGAAGAAGCTCCTCGAGCAGCACAGGGGAACTCATATGCCAGAACACGGGCTCCTGGTCATCGTCCTTGTTGTACAGCGGCTCTCCGTCCGTCTGCCCTCCCACTGCAATCCTCATCTGATTCCCGAAGATGGCCTTCTTGGTCACCACCGACTCAGACCACGCAGCACTCACATCCGGCAACGGTACCCCAGTGAGGATGTTGCCTGAGCTGGTCTCACCCTTCAGGTGCCCAGCTCGGCGAGGGCGTCTCTTCTGCTTCGAGGCCGCAGAAGACGTGACGATGTGCACTGTTTCCAGCTGATTCAGCTGAGCCGTTGACTTGAACTTCTCCAAGCGAGCTGCCAAATCGCTTTCTTTGTAGGCAACATAGAGGCTTTTATGGTGTTTTGCCATCGATGCACCAGCCTCATTGACGAAGCAATTGAGAATTGCTCGTTCGTTGCCGGTCTTGCCGGCATCCGTGATGGCGAACATCGCGTTGAAAGGCAGCTCAGCACCAGAGCTGAGAAAGTTGCACGTGGCCTGGATTGCGGTTTTGACCCTCTCCACCTTCAGCGGCGGCACTCTGAGATGCGGGCATGTGATGCTCTCACCCGCTGTCTTCTGATCGTACAGGACCAGAGTCAGGAAGTCTTTGGAGGCCACCCGGGACCCAATGGGGGACGACTTCAGCTCCTCCTGCAGAACAGCTTGGCGCTCAGGCTCCACGATGATCTTCACCGCAGCCCTCACTATACGTGAGGCCTTGGTCTCCAAGTCCTTGATCAATCCAATCTCGTCTTCGCTCAAGCTCTTCAGATGCTTGGCAAGCAGGGCCTGGTCGTGCTGGGCTTTGGCCAGGTCCTTAGTCTGCCAAGCATTCAGCCGGCCCCCCATCATGGAAGCTTGAATGATCTGGGCCACCTGGATACTCTCCTCCGTCCCCGTCAATGCCTCCGAAAGCTCAGGCTTCTGCTCAGGGGCGTCCCCGCGCTCCTTTTGCCAGCCGGCCTTGAATGCTTTGAAGTCCACGGAGAACTCTTCACGGTCTGGCAGATCTACTGGCTTCGCGCCAGCAGACAGTGCACACTTCAACTTTCGGTCGTGCTTCTTCGCGAAGACACACTCCTCAACGAAGGTGATGTACTCCCGTGTAGTAGGCGAGAACCGTGCAAGCCAGGAAAGATCAACGGTATCACGCTCGTCATGGCAGCCGAAGTGTTGCCGATAGTCAGCAAAGCTGTCAAAGGCCTTTCTTAGAGTCTGCCTCTCCTCTGGGGGCACAGCTGAGCCTGCATCCTCAAGCCATGTTGACACAGCCAAGTTCTTGAACCCCAGCTTGAAAATGAAGAGGTCCACCGTGCCCTTGTTCGATGGGAGGCCTTGGCCTTTCAGATTCCGCGTGGTACAGCTGGAGATTTGCAGCATGTCGTTCTCGGTTTGGTCCTGAATCCCAGAAATGCACCAAATCAGCTTTTCCTTCGACCCTGGACCTTGACCGCATTTCTTGCAAACTTCCTCAAGTTGATAAATGCTCGACCAGACATTATCTTTGCCGTTCTTCTCCTCGCCTTGCAAGATGATCTTCTGCAGCTCTTCAATGCACAGAATCCTGTTGTAGACTGTGAGGCAAGAGTCGACGAACGATTGCCGGAAAGCCCTCTCTCCGGTTGCCATTGTCGAGAATTGCACGTTCGCAACCCACTTCTGGTACACTCCCGCTGCACTCAAGACATCGTTGGGGTTGCGACGCTCGTAGTCCAGCTTGAATTGGATCACCTCGTACGCTCGCTGGATGCAGGACCGATAAAACACGTCAAAGGACGTCCCTATGTCCTCTCTCAAGTTGATGCATCGCCAGTACATCTCAGTCAATGACGGCACCAGCTCCACTGTCATCGTCCATGACTTCGCAAGAGCAAGCCACTTTTCCAGCTCAGCCTCACCAGGCTCCGAGGCCAAGACATTGTCTAGCTGGAAGATGAAAGCATAGAGCTCCTCATCAGGGCTGAGAAGCCGCAGTTTACCACGCATGTTAAGCACCTCCTCACCCTCCAGGATGCCCACATGCACCGCTCTTCGTTTCTCAAAAGCCAACTGAGGAGTCTTGAAGGACGAGCTTTGAAGCTTCAGGATGGATTTCCTGTTCACCGGAATGCCTGGCACCAAGGACATGTAGGGGTCAATCCAGAAGATGTTGCCGCCTGCTGTGTACGTGGGCTTGAAGCCTTTCGCGATTGCGCCAGCCTTCACCCGACGCCATGTGTCCTCGGAAAAGGGCTCCACTGATGCACTGCTGTCAGCAGAGATGTCCAAGGCTTCCAGCACTTGAACGCCGTTGAACAGCGGGTGATCCGTGATCCGCTGCAGGCTGCCCTGCAAGTCAGCATAGAGGTCTTTGTTCACACCGCTTTTGAGATCATCTGCCACAGGCATCACCACCGGAGGCGATGCAGCTGCTGCAGCGGGCTTAGCCGCAGCCTTAACCTTAGCCTTAGGCTGCTTTTTGCCTGCCATAGCCGTGACGAGTCTGCCACGGTGACTTGCTCGTCACTTGTGCCCGGATTCTGCGACACTTCATTGTCATTGAAGCGTTTGTGCTGAAAAGTTGCGACAGAACAGTCAGAGGTCGGTCCTTGCGATGGCCCAGAAGCGGCCAGCCAGCAGACACGTCAGGCCGAAGTCCCAGCCTGGGCCGAAGCAGAACAGAAAGGCTACTAAGCAAGCAAAGAAGCGGAAGCCGTGGAACACGGGCCGAGTTATGACCAGATCAGATCGCCAGTGGCTACATGTACCAAGACAAGACATGGAGCTTTTCTATGGTGTGCTCTTGTATTGGAGTGGGCCTGTTTACGCACTCTGTGTCTTTTTGGCATTGTGTACGTCACGCCGGGCCTCGGAGATCCTCAACCTACGTGCATGTGATATCTTTACTGAAGGGGGGCCGCATCACGACAGGCCCTACGTACTTCTACTAAAGCGCACAGACACGGGTATTATCAAGCCCGGTATGGGTAAATTGGGATGTGATGAGGTAGCTGCAAGGATATCACAAGAGGCTGTGGCCACCATTGAATCGATACGAAGGAACGGCCTGGAACGAGTCCAGACTGAGGCCGTGGCAAAGTACTCGCAAAAAATCATTGATCTGAACCTTCAGAAGAAGTCCTGCCCGGCCCCAGGCAGGTACGACTGGCCAAAGGAGTCTGATGGATTGCTTTTTCCATCGTTGCAAACCGGAAGCTCAGGTAGTACAGCCTGCTTGACAAGACAGTCAGCCTGGAATGCGATCAAAAGAACCCGCGAAATTATGTTTGCACTCACGGCCAAGAAGCGGTACCAGCCTACTGCTCAATTTAGCCACGTTACTTTACACGGGGCTACAAGGCACTCTTCGGCAGCATTGTTTCTAGAGAAGCCTTCGTCAACTGCTTCAACTCAGCAAAGACCCAGTGTCGAATGCATCCTCGAGATCCAAAACAGACAAGACCGCAAGACGTTCGAGAAGCACTACTTCCACTTGGGAGAGGAGGAAATGGACGACGCCGTAGCCTATGCTAGTGTTCCCAATCCATTTTCAACTCGTGGCAAGGCATCCTTGTCAACAGGTCGCTACAGAATCAGAGTCAAGAGACCTCCACAGGCTCATGACAAGTAAAGGCCTGAACAGAGAGACTCCAAAGAGATGCCGATACCTCAGAGGACTGTGGCGCCTGTCACCGCAAAAGGTGTGAGGCTTTTGATCTACGAGGGGCTTTTGAACCCGAGGAGGCTTTTTTGACCGGCCTGTCACCGCAAAAGGTGTGAGGCTTTTGATCTACGAGGGGCTTTTGAACCCGGATGCCTTTTTGACCGAAGGGGGCGTCTGTCAAAAAGGGCTTCTCGGGTGGTCTTGGGGGGGCTTTGGGGGGCTTTGGGGGGGGGGCTTTGGGGCTTTTGGGAGCTCTTGAATGGGGCTGTTGGGGGCTCTTGAGCTGGCTCCTGTGTCGGTCCTTCGGATTGTTCAGGTCAATGATTCTGGCGAGCACTTTGCAAAAGACCTCGGAATTCGTCTCAGAGTGTGTCAACAAAGCCTTCTGGGCGGGGGGCTCTTGTGTTTAGAGGGGTCTGTCTAAAAGGGGTGCTAAGCAGAGGTCTGTCACCAGCACGATTTGGGTGGCACCGGCAGTGAGCCCGGATGTCAATGCAAGAGCTTTGGGAGAGTATGCTTTGGCATCATGAGCACCGCGAGCCACGCAGCAGATTTCCAAGGCTTGTTCTTTGTTGCAGAGCCTGTCCCAGTCCTTCCCCAACCCCAACCACTGGGATGTCCAACCAAGGCCAGACTTGCTTGGCCTCAGCACGGGCGCTGGTTACGGCAGGCGGAGCACAGCCACAAACATGTGTGAAGCATCAATGCAGGAAATACTTGAATGTGATTGCTTGTGTCAACACGCAGCAGCAGGATTCCAGTGTAGACGTTCTTTTTCGCTGGAGCAGTTTACAGATTTCAAGAATCTGACATCAGAACAGGATCTTCTGTCTGTCTCCATCGTTCGGTAGCTATCTGCACAGATTTCCATCTACGTAGAATAAGTTCCTTTGTGGATGGAGCATCGCAGCTGCTAAGTGCAGCAATGTCGTGGGAGAAGCAAGGCTGGCAGGAGGCCGAGGAGGACCCCTGGCAGGAGACGAACTGGTGGCAGGAGACGAACTGGTGGCAGGACGAATCCTGGCAGGACGACTCCTGGCAGGACGACTCCTGGCAGGACAACCCCCGCCAGGACGACAACTCCTGGAACTCCTGGCGGGACGACGAGACGAAGGAGTCTTCGAAGTCTTGGAAAGACTCCGGGTGGAGCCACCAGCCTCGCCACAGCGGCGCCTCAGCCTCCTCTCAAGGCAGTGGCCGCAGGCCAGCAGAGGGCACGGCAGTTTGGAGAATCTGAACGCCCGGAATCGCCGGGAGATCAAGCGGTGGCGAGACGACAAGGATGAGCTCGAGAAGGCCCGGTATACCATCCAGCAGCAAGAAGATCTTATCGACAACCTGAGAGGATGTCTGTGGTGTGAGGAGGACAAAACGCAGCAGCTGACCGAGCGAGCAGACTCCTTGAAGAACACCATGTTCGAAATGGCAGACACGATCCAGGAGATGAGTGGGCAAATCGATGAGCTAAAAGGAGAGTCTGTGGAATCCATGCGAAGCCGCATGCAAGCCGAGGGCAAGGTGTCAGAACTCCAGCAGGAGCTGAAGAAGCAGAGGAGTCGGAGCAGCTTGGAGATGGGCTCTAAAGACCAGGAGTTGAAGGAAATGCAGGCAAAGCTCGACGCGCAGGATGCCGAGCAGAGCGATCGTCTCGGCAGCTTGCACACTGACTTCAAGAGGTACCAGGCCGGCCGGCCAATGTGCGTCGAATTGGAACATAAGATCTAGATTATAAACGTTCTACAGTTCCGTGACAACATGTTGTGCCAGGAGGTTACAAGAAAGGCCATTGCGGATTCCAAAGAGCAAGAGGCCGCTGGCACTTCTTTCGGTTTAAGATAAACAGCCTCCTGACAAATGAATCGTGCCAGGACTTTCTGGCAGTGAAGTTGCGGCGGATCGAGAAAGACAAGGCAACGAGATCATGCGAGAGTATTTGTGGAGCATCAAGACATTAATGTGTCCGTCCAGGCGAGATATGTGGAGCTCGTCGGCCAGTACGACGAGCACTGGCCAGACAAGGCCTCAAGACACAGTTGAATTTTCGATGCGCAGAGACGCCCGGATTTGCTCACAGGCACGCGGACGGAAACCGCAGCTACGAAGTCCCACGCCGACGCCGACAGAGGTGGCTGAGTCTGACTGAGGTCCGCTTGCACGAACCTGCACTCTTCCATAAGTGATGTGTCCATATCATACAGAGCATGCGAGCTACGATAGGGACCCTCAGATTCAGTCGCTGCAGGAGGGCCCTGGCAACGATGAGGACGAAGGACCTCCCGTGACCTCCCTGCGAAAGTGGCCAAAAAGACGTCAGAGTGGCACTGGGAGAGTGCAGAGCTTTGACTTCGACTTTGAGTGCTTGCGCAAGCGTGCTGCAACCTTCATCTTGATATCCCCTTGACTGAAGCCCTCGTCCGGTCGCAGGTGGCTCAGATGAGACAGCAGACCGTCGACTAGCTGGTGGAGGTCGGACAAGGACCCGAGCAGAAGTTCACTTGAGCTACTCAGTTGCCAGAGAAGACAGACAGTTGACACGGTGCACTGGGAGAGTGCGCATCACACACAAGCTTGCTTTCGACAGAGGGGAGGGTCAGGGGGCGAGGGAGGCGAGGAGCCAGGAGGAGGAGGAGCAAAGATATGGAGTGGCAGACTCCAAGCATCTGACATGCATGTGCCCGTCCAGGATCGGTACGTGCAACTGGCGGAGGAGTTTGAGGCTCAATAGCCAAAGAAGAAAAACAAGCCGGAGCTCCGTGATCTGACGCCCACACCGAGGCGACTGAAGTTGCCGAGACGAGCGGCGACGAGGACGCATGATTTCGTGATGAGTGATAGAGGAAAACTCATATTAAGAATTTGTTCCTGCAGGACTGAGGATGCTTGGCCTGGAGGGCATGGTGTGCCGCTCTGTGGAAGCAAACTTGAGCGAGCTCGATTTTCGACTGACATCAGGATTGAGTTTGAGCTGTGCTGCCAACGCTTCTCCCCACCAAAGACTTTCTCAGACATTCCTGGACGCAGGTAAGACACGACTGGTGTGGTGGCATCAAGGTGGCAAGCAGGGACCCCAGCATAGTAGTAATAGATCATCTCAACAGAGCACACAGTGAGCAGTGTTCACGATTAAAAGCAAGCTCGAAAGCACTGGGAGAGTGACTACTGTAACAAATACAGCACTGGGAGAGTGCTGACTACAAAAACATTGGGAGCATGCTGATTGTTAATACTTGATGCTGAGCGTCTGGCTGTCATTGCTGCTTTGCTTCAATTCCAAGCCTCAGCTTAAGCTCAGCTACTTGTCAAGTTTATGAAGCATCCTCACATCCCTACTAGTAGCACTTTCGTGTCATCAGTCAACGTATCAGACAAGCACTCTCGCAGTGCCCCCCGCCTGGCGCAGGACAATCAAAGGCACTCTCTCAGTGCCGTCCCAGGCACTCTCCCAGTGCACTGAAGCCGAGCTCTGTGAGGAGCACTCTCCCAGTGCTCCTCCTAAATTATTATTATTAACTAAATATGAAACTCTGTGATGAGCAGCACTCTCCCAGTGCTCCTCCTAAACCCTAATAATAACTAAACCCTAAACTCTAAACCTTAAGCCCTCCCCCCACCCCCAAACCCCAGTGCCATTGGCCTTGTGGGAGCAGCCGTGGGTTTAGGGTTTAGTTTAGTGGTTCAGGTGTTTAAGGTTTAGGGGTTTCGGGTTTGTGGTTTGCGGTTTAAGGGTGTAGGGTTTAGGGTTCGTAAGGGTTTAGGGTTCAAGTGTTCAGAGGTTAGAGTCTTTATAGGTTTAGGGAACGTTATACCTGGCACGTAGAAGTCAATACTTTGAGCTCGAACCAACATATAGCAAAACCTAATTTGTATTCTGGATTGCCATACTAACGGAAATCTCATTCATTTCGCTTTATACAAGCTTTGTAATGAATACTTGCTGCTATGTTTTGCAAGAAAGAAAAAGAAGATACTAAACCTTAACTCGAACCCTGCACTTTTAAATACGCCTTGTGATTATGGTGTTGAATTTTTGATGTCATGTTTCAACAAAAGAGTCCTTAAAAGGTGGATTTACCACCCTTCAAACATTGTATTGGATGCTGGCTGCTGGCTGAGATTCTTCGGTTACGGGGTCGAAGTCGACCCCTGCGTTTTGCGCAGTTCAGGTCCGCCTCCTCCACGACATCACTATCAACTCTGGCGCTTAGGGGCGTTGTCGTAATTCAAACCCTAAGAAACACCAGCCCCTTTCCTTTAAAAAAAAAATCTAAAAAATCCAATCCAAAAAAACCAAAACCAAAAAAAACAATACCAAAAAAACCAAAAAAATCAAAAAAACAATTATTTCAGTGCTCTTCCAGAACAACATTAGAAATACACACGAATGGGAGAATTCTGAAATAATGTTTTTTTTGTTTTTTTTTGTTTTGGTGTTTTTGTTTTTTTTGGTTTTGTTTTTTTGGTTTCGACGCTGTGAGACACATTGGCTACATGACAAACAGTTCCATGAACCGCTGCGCGTTGTTCCGTACTCAAGCCTAGTATAGCCTAGTTCTATTTTCCGGTGACTCATATCTGCACAGCAGTCGCGATTCATGACAAGCTTCCGGTGGCCTCCCCAATACTTATTAAACTATCTTGATTGGAATGGACTGTAGTGATACAAAATGAAACTAACGTGCAACCTCTCACCAACTGAACTAGTATCATTCCAACCACTATATTAAGTAATCTCCTTAGTCTTGTACTCTACTAGCCTTAAACATAGAAACCACTGAGATGTAATAATGTAAGCCTTCACATAACATCACTAGAACACAAATGAAAAACTTAGACAACTTGCTTTGTATTAACCTCTACACAGCTAACCTAGACCATTCGTGATACAAAATGAAACTAACGTGCAACCTCTCACCAACTGAACTAGTATCATTCCAACCACTATATAATTAAGTAATCTCCTTAGTCTTGTACTCTACTAGCCTTAAACATAGAAACCACTGAGATGTAATAATGTAAGCCTTCACATAACATCACTAGAACACAAATGAAAAACTTAGACAACTTGCTTTGTATTAACCTCTACACACAGCTAACCTAGACCATTCATGCCATTGCCACTACCTATAGCTGTTCATCTAGTGTTCGTAAGTCGTTTTAATACTGCACAAGACAACATATATAATAGTCCTACTGGGGTAGCATTGATTGTACTTACTGGTAAGGCACAATGAAAAAGTGCAACAACATAATAAGAGTCATGAAAATCTATATCAATAGCAGCACTAATTACCAAGTATAATACCAGTTGAACCACCTATTGTAAACAGACTGTATGAAAGATATACTATAACAGTTAACATTAGTTGTGAAATAGTATCAGTAGACATGCATTACTTGTCCAGGGATGTGTAATACCAACTACATGATCGTAACGAACAAGTTGGTAATGATAATATAACCAATGTATTAACCTGTAAAGTTAGCTCTTGTATCACTGTTGCATACTAGTCGTAAACATATGATGTGCCCAAATTAGTTTATCCTAATAGACAAAGACAACTCATAGCCTCATAGCTCATGTTATCCGATTATAGACAAGTTAACCAAAGACACTAAACATGCAATAAGCCAGTTATTGTTAAACTATTGATTATCGAACGCTGGAAGCGTAGACTTCTGGATTCCCAAAGAACTAAATCATACATTGATAGAACATAGCATCACCTCCAAATATGAACCAAATGCTATTGTATTAAGTGCATATCTGTTAATAACCTTAATTAGTGAAGCATCGCACCTGTTAAGACTGGTAGAATTGTTAATAAGATAGATGATGTAGTCCTAACCGATCTAGATATATAACAAAACTTAGATTATTTTATGGATTGCCATACTAACGGAGATCCCATTATCTTTTCGCTTTACACGAAACTGGTAATGAATACTTGTTGCCGATAGAGAAATGAAAGAATATACTCAACCTCAACTCGAACCCTGCACACGTCGTGTGGTATGGTGTTGATTTTTTGATGTCATGCTTCAACAAATTTCAAATGAGTCATCGACACGTGGATTTTGCCACCCTGCAAATATTTGTATTGGATGCTGGCTGCCGGATGACATTCTTGAACTGAAACAATCAAAAATGAGTGTTTGCCATCTCAAACAAAGTTGCAATACACCTCAGAAACAACAAGGGGCAAGTCATTTTATTTGGCTATAGCCATGGTTGTTTCCCCCCGTCCCGATCATCATTGAAGTCGTTTTGCTCCAACAACACATGCACACACCAGGCTTCCACCCAAAAACTGTTTCCACCCTAACTGTGGGTCGGCAAGAACTTGCCAATGGAGAGAAAGGAAATGGTGTGGAATGACTTTCGGTCGAAGGGCTCGAAAACTGTGGTTGTCTGGGATCTGTTGTGTGACCAGGGCATGAAGGAGATTCCAAACAATTCTGAGCCTGGGGACTGGCACCTGTGGCTTCAGAGGGAAACTGGGGTGGCGGTAATTGAGCAGATTCTCCAGTGCATGTTCAATGTCACTCCGCCAAAACATGGCCGTGATCGAGTCAAGGGAAAAAATCTGACATACTGGCACTGGTTTGAGGCCTCCAAGACACTCGTTGAGGTTTATACGACGGAAGATGTCATCTCAAAGGAAAAATTCAAGCCCAAAGACCTG